GAAAAATTCATGTGTACAAGTCGTACGGAGGTAGTCAGTGCAATATTTATGTGTGTGTTTTTACATCTGATTCTGTGACCAGTATTTTTGAGTTATCACTATAAATCATTACAGTAATTGACAAAATAACTCACACTACTGATCCCACTTCTGACGTATATAGAGGTCCGTGTTTGCTTTCCTTTCAATCTGTATTGATTCAATGGACTTTTGAGCTTGATTATTGTTCGTCATCTTCATATTTCGCAGACAAACAAATTATGTTTATCTGGAACATAATTTCAACTTTTTATATACTTTTAGAGAAAGGTTGAAATAATATTTGTGAACTTCTGATGAACATCTTTGCAGTTATTTGTCGAAAACAATATTTTGAAACCAGCAAAAACAATCAAATACGCATTATTCATCTAATTGAAAATAATATAGTCATTGCCTAGCCAAATTTGCATCCGAGAACTTCAGAGTACGAGTCTTTGTATCCTCAAGGCAACATCCATTCATCAAAAAAAATTACAAATGAACTTCGACAAAATAAATTCTCGACATCTACAGCCATAATGTTACCTCCTTTATCTGCTTCTGTCGTGTCGTGCAAATCCTATATGTTTATCTTTAGTAATTATATATTTTAATATATAGTTCTTATTTTTGTAGCACAGGGGGCTTGCAAACCTTTAGCAGCTCCTAGAGATGGGCAAATAAACTGTGGAGATTCCACGATATTTTAGTGAGTATTGCAGCGTTAAGTCAGAGACATGTTATTAATGTCTCTTAAATAGAGGATTCTTATCCACATTGATCTTTATCTTTATTCGAGTATGTAGAGAAAGAGAAAGGGAGATAAAAAGCCCTAAGAGTCTGAGAAAAGACAGTCTTTAACCTGATAAGTCAATACTTCAACAGAATATTGTGAAAAAAAATTATTAATTTGCAGAACCTGTTTCTTATATATACAGATTGTTTCAAAGGTACACACATGTGTTTAAAATTTAACATTTTGCAGTCGCTGTACAGCACATTGCAACTCTGGATATCAATTTGATAATGGAAACACAACAATACAAAAAGATTGTGATCCTATTACTGGAATGTTTTTTGATGGCCCAACTTTCCCAAAATGCATACGTAAGTAAAAACAAAACAACTTTTATTAAAATTTCAAATAACCGTTGCCACTTGATATTATTCCCGCACAATTTTTTTCACTTATAAATTGTCCCTGTAGGGTTTTCCATGGTGCCACTTAGGAATCATGGTACACACACATTTGGTTTTTATAGGTATTTTCATGAACATTTAAAGCAATACCATTCAAATACAATAGTAAAAAAGTTGTCAGTATAACATATTGATATTTGCAGCAGTTTCGAAATGGAATAAGTATAAAATGTCATTCTACGTGACGCCAAAATACATAAAATTTTATATGTATATACGTGTAGTTTGTTTTAACATAACTTAGGGCATAGACTTGTAAAAATTATGAAATTGTGGATATGTTGACCTATGAATTAAACAAAAATGGCAATTGCTAGTAAACATAAACTCAGTCTTTGCATGCTCATTGGCAAGTATCTGAAATTGATTCTGTTTTGTTCTAAATTTCAGCAAAGTGTAGCCCAGCCTGCCAGAATGGGCTCACTTGTGTGAAACCTAACATCTGTTTATGCGGGACTTTGCAACACGGTTAAAGTGACCTCAAGCATGTTGTCTCAAAATTGAATCTTACATACATTTCAATTTACCCTCTTGCAAATAAAATGCCACAATTGTAGATCTAATGTTTTTTTTCTCTCTTAATTATCTTGGTGTTAGTTTACTTATATATAGCATGGCCAGAGAAGTTACTTTAGTTGATGTTAACTGTAAACCAACAATTATTCGCGTCATCTTTTATTTGGAATTTGTCAGTTTGAAATCAATCCGCCACGATTAATTTTCGTGACTAAGGAATTATTATATTTAAAGAAATATACGAATAAATAGTTCGCGGCGACTAATATTTGCGAGTTAAAGTAGGTCGCGAAACTCGCGGATATTTCTTGCATGCGAATAAAAGTTGGTTTACAGTAACTTACATGTATTTCCCCCCCTGGGGACGCGCTTAATCTTGTAAAGCATTGTTTAATATATGATGCTGGATAATGACAACAATGGTTGTTGAGCGTGGTTGAAGGAAAATTAGTGATTCCTAGTGCTAGAAACAGTGTAAGCAAGTGTATGTCTATGTCATTTAATTACTGATTATTCACAGTTTAGTTAATGCGAAAAACAGTGATCTTAATGAACTGAGAAAATGTCAACAAAAACCATCCCCCCTTCTTACAATCCTAAAATTGAAAGTTAATAACTCCTTAAGCAAAGACTCCTAGCATGGAATGAAGTCACACAGATAAAAAGAAACAAGGTGTTCCTAAAGCTTTTTCTCCTCCTGAAAATGATGAGTCTCAGATAGTCTCAGATACAAGAAAAAGTGTTTGATCGGCTGAACTTGGATAGTCTAGAAATAGAGACAGGTGTAAAAACATTGAGTTTTTGGACAAACAATTAGCCAATGATGATGACAGATATCTTAGAGAAATTTGAAGAATATAAAAGGTCTGAAGGACAGTTCAATAATGAATACATAATCATTTTTTATGCCAAATAGGGAAAACTTTAGAAGAAAGAAGAAAAATTTGAATTTACCCCCAGAGATTTATTGACTATACGTTGTTTTACGTCCCATTCGAGAAATTTTCACTCAAATAGAGACGTCATCAGGTATCGGTGAAGGTCTTCATAGACCTATACGCGGCACTCAGGGTCATTGGACAGTGAGGGTTCTTTATCGTGCCCACACCTATCGCTACACAGGACCTCGTTTTTCTAAGGTCTCATCTGAAAGACCCGTGACTTTCACTTCTAGTGTCAGGCGCTTGGCGAAGGAACAGTCACTTCCTATGGTCCCGTCGTAAGTTTGACGTGGCGCGGCGATCAAACACCTCTGTCAAAAATTGCTCGATCGTACCGAAAATAAAACATGACCTAGATATTTTTGTGATAAATCTGTATACCAAATTTCATTTTAGTATGTGCAACGTCTGCGAAGAAAGTGAACGGACACTGTTGCTGGACCGACAGACAGACCGACAGACGGACAGAAGCAGAGCAATATGTCCTCCATTTTCGAAGGGGGGCTTAAATACTAGTATAAATACTTGCTGCAAACCTTCAACTATATGTGAATTTCACGATAATGTTTACATTTGCAAATGCGTTCCTTTATACCTGTTTAATACTATATGAACAAAGCGGATAAAGAGGTTAATTACATGACCATAAATTCGTTTCTTAGACAAAAACTGTCGACGTAATTTTACAGTGACGTCATAAGTGATCGATGTTTTCAACACAATTTATGTCGATAAGGTTTGAAAAATAAATCATGGGTTTTTAACATTGGTAAGCATATATTTCTTTTTATAAATCAGCCACAAATGTAAATATAAGGTATCACTTTTAAACATTTATCGCGATTGGTATGGGTTCATGACTACATAATCCATCTGAACAACGACATAATTTATCTGTACGAAGAAAAACACAATCAAATATTTAATTCGTCTGAAGAAATTTTTAATTCTTAACAAATATTTAATCATCATCAAAAAGTTCGATGTGCAGAACAAATGTCATTTTGTCTATTTGACTATTCAGCACAAACAAATATTCAATTCGTCTAAACATGTCTTTGCTTTAACAAAACAAGCATTTAACGTTTAAAGGTGCTTGGACACAGATTTGAAGTTAATATTTTCTCAGATTTTCTGTATAATTTCATGACTTATATGTTGCTATAGCATTTCATACTAAAATATAATAAAAATCCTATTTCATCTCGAAGTTATTGAAACTTCAAATTTCTGGACGCGTTGGATTGGCACATCCTTGCGCTTTCACATATTTTAATTTTATTCTTAATACTTAAGAAAAGTGGCAATTTTTGTTGTGTATTAATGAAAAATATTAAAACTATAACCCAGAAAATTCAGAGTAGAAATGTTCGAAAGCAAAACCCACTCACAGTAGTGTAACTCCGTGCTCAGTGGTGTGTGCAGAGTTTAACAATTGAACACAACCGGTGAATCGTAAACATTAACAATAACAGAGCTCGTGCACTGTTTACAAAAACAGTTTTCGTTTCACGGGTGTGTTCAATTTGTTAAACTCTGTACACATCACAGAGCACGGACTGAGAATACTGATGAGTTGGTTTTGCTTTCGAACATTTCTACTCTGAATTTTCTGGATTATAGATGTGCTATTTTTCATTAATACATAACAGAATCGCTTCTTTTCTTAAATATTAAGGATAAAGTTAAAATTTGTGTACCAGGGTAAGTGCAAAGATGTGTTAATCAAAAACGTCCCGGAATTCGTAGTTTCAATAATTTCCAGATAAAATAAGTTTTTAATTATATTTTGGTGTGAAATGCTATTGCAATATATGTCGTAATATTATACAGAAAATTTGAGAAAATATGAAATTCCAATCTGTGTCCAAGCACCTTTAAAGTATCTAATTCGTACGTGATTCTCTAGAACAACGAGTCTGTCCAAGTAAATGATATACATTATCATAATAAAAACAAAATCTTTTTAATAAATAATTTTATTCATCGGATCAAATAAACAGTACTGTTTTCTTTAATCAGGCCCTTCAAAGGTGGTCTACATAAACTTTTAAAATAAAAAAAAATATCCCAAAGAATCAGTAAAAGATTTTATTGTTAATTAAAATGTGCACACAAAAACTACTAATAGTATGCGACAATCAAAGCATTAAGATTTCCAAGATTAAGTTTTTTCTGTACATTTCACAAAATTTTAACAAATTGTATTTCTATATATATATATAAAAAGAGTACATTTATAAACAACACAGGCAAAATAGATTTAAAATGTCTGTTAAAAGTTTTCAACTATGATCTGTATTTATTTCATTATTATTAGATTTAGCAGTTTGCATACACACTGTCATTTTGCATGTATTCAGCAGCAGCGTCATGACAAAGCTGGTATTCGTCCTAAAAGAGATAAAATACCATCAGAATTTTATTTCTGTTCAGATTTTTTCGATATGAAAAAAAATTATGTTCAACACTGTATCTAGATATAATGTAAAAGACAAGTAATGAATAGTACTTAAATATAATCGAGTTTACAAAATTAAGAAAACACGCAAGCCTTACTTTTCTAGACAGTAATCTTATACATGATTGTGAGATAATGGTGCATCAAATCAAACACTAAATGTGTCATCACAATATTTCGGTTGAGGTTTTCAAAACATGGCTGACGCAAAATAATTCCTGAATCTTCCCTCCAGATCCCTGCATTTCTGCACGAGACCAGAACTGAATTTTTTATGAGATAAAAAAAACATTAAAATATTTTATCTCATAAAAAATTCTGTTCATTTTAAAAATGTTTGTACCAGATTCATTAAAATTGAGGACGTGTTAATTTTTTAATATACTGTATTTAAGGGCAAGTAAATAAGCTCCGCACGTGATTTTCAAACACTTGCTTGACCTCGACCGAAACAAACGTCTATGCCTTGCTTGATTCCTATAGGTTTTTTTCTGGAAGGGGGGGGGGTTGCTTAAATGTTTATAAAGAATTGTTTCACAAACTTCTGAAAACGAAACCTCTCAAAACTTTTTAAATTCAGACCTACTCAATGAAGTGCCATTTCGTTAAAAATTTATGCATTTAGCAAATTTAATACTGCAGTGCAACCTAAAGACCCCTTTCTAGCAGTCTAGAAAAATAATTAAAATTTCAATTATCGTCCAATAATCAGAAATGAAAACTAACCAAAGTCGATACAAACTCTGGTCTTCGGATCCGAAGTTGCCTTGTGATGGTGAAGATGTCTACTTCTCGATCCATAGAGAGTTGTTCCAGAGCATTATAAACCACACAGAATGCTCCACAACGTGTGGCGCCATCACTGTAAAAGATAAACAGGATCCAATTTTCTTCTTGTGGTAGATTTCAATATTCAGCTACACAAAAGTGAATGTTAGTGTGCTAATACGTATTCCAGACAATGAATTAAATTTTCATGTCCAAATCCATTTAAGGACTTATACCTCCAATAAAATGTGGACCTTTGTCTCTTTTTGTGATGCTATGTTTGATTTCAGTCTACATGTTTAAACCAACTGACTAAAATAATAAATCTAACTTACCTTGACAAAATAACAACCCTTCCTTCCTTGTGCTTGATCTTTTCAGATTTTGTTTCTTTGATTAAATCCAGCAAAGCTCTTTTATCTATTGTCATTTTCCCTTCTTTCCAAGTCTTACTTTCTAGTACTGTAATCCCCATAGCCCTGCCTCCCTATAAATATTTCAATGATTTATGAAGTAGAATAAGAAATATGTAAATAAGGCACCCACATCACCACTGCTGAAAAATATTTGTTCAGAAATTAAAATTATATTACACCTCTGGCTGTAAGACGATATTTCTTGATGCATAGTTTGTAGAATTTGTCGAGGAGGCCAATTTGATGGTAAAATTTCCAACGGTTTTATGTTCAGATTTCGTTGGAAGCCAGAGAGAGGTCTGGAAGAAAAGAGTATTTTAAGTATATCTATGTTTGTATGTAATAGATAAAAACTTTTTGCATTTTAAGTTAAAAAATATGTATTTCAACATAAATAGTTGTTTCGATTCTTTCTAAATTTTGCAAATACATGTATGTACATTTTGTTTTACTTCTATATACTTTACTATAGAGCGTGGTAATAAGTAATAAAATTATTCATAGGCTGCTATTTATTTTCAAATCTTTGATCGCTATATCCTACAGATTTCAAATCTTTTATCGGACACATGAAAACCACAACGCGGGCATCAAAGTCCCTGATGAGTCTGAGAAAGTCTTCAGTATAGTCAGGAAGTGGGTACTGAGCGCTGATCAGACTGTCATTTTCAGTGAAGGACTGAAAGTTAACAGGTATAGAAATTGTAAAACATCTTGTTTTCTTTTTGTAGGATATTTGTAAACTTTAATGCATCCTGTTTTCTTTTTATAGGATAATTGAAAACATTAAGGTTTGAAGAACAAATGTCTGTTTTCTTGTTCAGTCTTAAAAAAAAGTTATTTTATAACGAACGTCCTTCAAATAGAAAGAATACTAAAGAGACATAACATCAAAATCATTTTAATACACTATTTCATACATGTAATAATCATACCATTATTCATTTAATTAAAAATTAAACCTTATTTCAAGACTATCTCAGCATGAGTTTTTATATATATCAAGGAATTTAATCTTTGCCGTTAAATACATGTGTATGAGACCTGAAGAAGAACAGCGTTGTAGTACGTGTTCCTTCCCTTAGTATAGGACAAATAGCAAAGAAATTCTTCCACTGAAAAGGGAAACGTATAATCAAAAATAAGAAACGAGATATTACAATGGAATCTAAATAATATTTTTTTTCTGCTTTAATTCGAAGGTGATATATTGATGAAAAGAGTAATATAAAGGATCTTCAAAAACAGGAACTTATGGCTTCTTTGCTAATGCATTTTCTAATCTAATCGCCGAAATATGGCTGAAATATTGCCGAATCGGCGTTAAACAATAAACATTCAATCTTTCAATCTAATCTAATTGCTCTTGGTATACCTGGTAGAACACTCTCTGTATAGTTTGCTGATACATTTGTTCGGCCAGATTCGTAATCTTTCTCTGTGTATTCTTTACGAAGAGACAGTAACTCCTAAAAAGACAAGACTTATAATGCACAATATTTCACTCGAGGAATTGATGAAGATATATATGAAAGATTCTTTCTGGTATCTTAACTTTAATAAACGTACCTATTTTTCTTTTAAATGCTTACGAAAACTAAAACATCTGAATGAACATGCATCACCTGAAATTCTGAAGTCAAGGAGGAATTCCTTGTCACTTGTCCACTATTGGTGTAGATTTTATCTTCGAACGCCTTTGTAAACGAGGAGGGTGACAAACATCTTGATTTCCCATTAAAAGTTTCACATAAAGCAAGGTATACTGCTTTATACTGGTCCTAAGATGACGAAAATATATACTAAAAATAAAGATTTTTGATAGTATTTTCTTAAATTGGCTTACATTCATCTACAACCTATAAAGATCACCGAGATTTGCTTTATGTTTGTTTGTTTGTTGTTTAACGTCCCTCTCGAGAATTTTTCTCTCATATGGAGACGCCACCACTTGCCGGTGGGGAGCTGCAAATTTTGACCTATGCTCGGCATTCAGGGCCATTGAGCAGTGAGGGATCTTTTCCGTGCCAGCACCTTTACAGATTTGTAAATTGAATAGCAATTACACAATACATAGACAGAAACTTGTAGATTTAGATAAATTATTCTTTTTTTACAGATTCATATTTTAATCAGCATTGTTTGTGATTATATTATTCTCAATAAAGAAACAGCATTGCATGGCAGATTTAGGTTTTGTCTCAGCTTATTTGCCCATCTTTTCAATAGCTGTATCTTACATATCAAATGTTAAAGCAACTGTCTGTTTAAAATGATGTAATTATAGAACACAGACTATTGCAAAAAAAAAATTGTATTATTTCACTGAACACAAACTTAGACAAAGTTTATTAGTAAGTGCTATATGTTCTGAGAATCTTTTATTAAATGATAGTCCTATTCAAATAATTTACTTCTAGAAATCGAAAAATATCATACGTTTTATTTTAAATTGTTATTAATTGGTCATAAATTTAAAAGGAAAACTTTTATATTTACACAAAGAACTTAAAAATTTGCGATAAAATCATGTGACATTTGTGTGAAAGAAAATAGCTCTCTCAAAAATGCATAAGTTCTCTTCATTTATTTGTTTGTACAATATTAGATTTTTAACGACTGAATGATTGGAGAATATTAAAGCCACCTTGTAATTTGGAGGAAAAAATCAAGAAGAAATTATGTAAAAAGGAAATTAATTTGAACGGTACAGGGAAATTTTTACAGCTAATGACTATTGAACACCAGTCAATGATTTAGAGGAAGTTAGATTTGATATGTACCTCTACCTTTTTGAACCAATGTGGGTTTTTTTTTCTGAAATAATAAGGAAACAAAAGAACCCGATCTCCTTAAGTACCTCGTAAGTATGATCATACAAATGAAAAGAGACTGTGCTATTAAAGTGGGAAGTAAATAAATTACAGTGTATTTAGGGCATGACAGGAACTTTGTTAAAAAAGAAAACAACTATGTGTTCTCTACATCGATTACATGTATAAATATGGCATTTTGGAAATGTTCACATAAAAAAAAAAAAAAACAGATGAAAATCTTAAAATTATTCATGCAAGTTTCATGATATTACATGTACATGCTCACTGTAATTATTTTAACTTTCATGTGCACGGAAGTCCAAATAGATTCTGTGAAGTTTTTTTTTATTATCTGCAATGATAAAATTCTAAATAATTTAACATTCAATAAACTCACATCGCCTTGTATCATGTTCATTCTGTCTTTTCTCATGGTCCTGACGTACATCGGTACATTAACTTTACCATTTTTCTCCCCTTCCCGATAGAGGGCGTCTAAAGCTATGTAAGTTCCGGTTCTTCCAATACCTGCACTGTTAATTTATCATACAACAAGTAGAAAATCTCTTTTATTAAAAATTTTAAAAAAAATCTTTTCAAATTTGCATGTTCCATATTAGGGAAATTGTCAAATGCAAATATTCTGTGATCAAAATATGTTTATGTTTAGGGCATTTCTCTGTTTTTGTCAATTTAATAAACTTCTTCAAATCTATAGAAGAAAAACAAAGGCATATCTGCAATTTGAATATTTCATGGACATCTGTACGAATTGAATTTAAATTCTACATGTACATGTGTTTATTTGCACGTGCACAATGATACATTTAATTGTGGTATAATTTACTAATGTTATACATGTAGTCATCATTTATCAGAAAACAGATATGTTATAACCTGCAATGTACAAGTGTATAATTCCCATGGTATTCTGATGATATTCTCATCACGTGACGATGAAACAAAACAAGACTGAGTGAATCAGGAACTCCATGATCTGGCCATCTTGTGTAGTGAAACATCACCACCTCACGATTTCTCTGTTCCTATAAATCATAATTTCGTTCTATTCAAGAGTTATATAAGACTAGTCACGTACATTTAATACTTTTGAAAGAATTATTTGCCAGTTAAATAGATCTTACCTAATACAATTGATGTCATGAAACAAAATCATTGCAAACCTTTCGTAAAACAATATTTTGGTGAAAGAGCTCTTAAGAAAATTTCTATGATTTAAAAAGAAGACAATTCAAGAATTACGTATTTCAGCTTTCCTGTCATGACAGTTCATGTACGAACAATATCTATAGAGAGGCAAATAATTTGATGGTCAAAGAATATCAACATTTATATAGTCAACATTTAACACATTCTATGGTCAAAACGAGAACTGCTGATAATAGTCGGACATTCTATACACTAAATTCTATTATCAATATCATGACCTTGTTTGTTGAATGACGTTTTTTTATAAAGAATGATAAGTCATTTTTGATATTTCATAACGCAGTAAAATTGTTCACACATGTTCAGAACGAAAACTATACCAAATACTATGGAACATTGATTTGCTATAGAAAATATATAAGAATACTATAGAAGTAAAATCTTTGAGTTTTGATTTTTCTATTGTAGAGAGACTTGGATTATGTGATTTTCTAAAGTGAACACAACGGAACTCTAGCTGACTACAGTGAAATATTCATTCTATATACAAATTTTGTTAACATAAGTAAACTGTAGTTGACTAATGTGAACTATTGATTTTATAGGATAGTATGACAATCGATTCAACTTGTAGCTAGAATGGTATTCGTCCATCTCTTTATTAAGGTATTTGCAAATAAAATAACAGAAAATATAATCTACTAAAAAGGTTTTAGCATTGACACACTGAAAAAATGGAATAAAATGAGCGGGCTATATATGCAATCAGTCAAATAAGTCTAAATCTTGAAAGAGCACTTTGTTCCATTCTAAAGGCAATTTTATGTTTTAAAAAATGGAGACATGTTAAATAAAAATATTTTGTTTAGTTGGCCATGTTAAAACTTTTTTTTAAATCACTACTCTCTGTATTTTAGTGTGATGACTGATAAATAAAGAGTGCTAATTTATGTACAAGGGAAAGATTTTGCTATATGTATAATCTTTCTGAATAAAAAATACTGCAAAATCATTCATAAAAATCTATCTTTATTGGCGAAATCTACATATATGTTTAGTCTAGAAATAAGGTGTTTAAATTATAACGAATAAAAAATATATCAAACTCTGCGCATGCGTATTCCTGTCATATAGAAGAGGTATATAAGGTAGAAATAAGATACTTTTTTGATTTGGCTTCTGTTGTGGTATCATTCCTCATTTGTATTCTTTTAAATATAAAATTTGAAAAAAGTGAGAGCCAATGAAGATAGGATAAAGTACACTAAATTAAAGGAAAACTTCAGAAGATTACTGCGATGTAACACCATTTTTAGGAAGCAATACCTAGAAGAGATTTCTTTTCCTATTCGTGGTTACAAACGACACCAAATGCTATGGAGAGTAGCTCGAGGTAAGAATTCATATTTTACTAAAACTTAACGTTTGATGAAGCCATTGAATAACACAATGGGATTCTAGGTCGGTATGAACAATATCGCCTTAATGAAAATATAACATATATCACAATTGATGGTTAATGAAAAAGGTGAAGATTAATGATGAAAATAAATACACATTTTTGAAACAAGAAACATTGGAAATAATAATGATCATAATAATTGTAAATCAATAAGATACATAGAGAACTTTACTTATTTCAGTTGAACAAATTTCTTTAAGGATAAAATATGGGGACTTTCTCTTTTTTATAATTGTAAGCCTGCTAAAAATCTGTAAATTAAACGTAGTCAAAGCTGGACTTATTATCTTAAAAAAGGGTGTCACTATCCCATGCACACAAGTGTTACATATATTAGCTCATTACATGAAATGATAATTGTCTTTTTGGTTAATGTGAGCCCTACAATGTTGAATTTTAAACTAGTTCTTGTAGTAAAAATAATTCTAAAACGCCCTTTCTTACAAAATTATTATAAGCTTTGAACCGTCGTATTGTATAATTGGAATATATTTTCTCTTCCAGGTGTCTCACAGTGAAATCCTCTATTTGTAGTTTATCGTTAATTTCCGGCCAATATTGGGCACATTTGTTCTGTAAAATAGAAAAATAATTTTCAGATATCTTTTCAGCTGATTTGTGCTTTAACAGCAACAAACAATCACTGGAAATACGTTGGAGATTATGTGTGTATGCGTCAGATATCAGTCTCAAACATGTATATTCATACACACGTTTCCTTGAATCGATTTCTTTTTGTGTTTCATGATCAAGATCTAGTTTTATCAAATGAACGACTTAATCATAACCAACAATTCTTAAAATATTTTTGTTCAGAATGCTTGAACACAAAGTGTAGACATTTTTTTCTTTTTTGCACGGCTTTGATTATCGCACACATACGCAAAAAAACAACATCTGAAATTAGAAGACAGAAGTACCGGAACACGGCTCAAGCAATACCATTAACAATAAAAAATACCTTTCCCCCTTCTTTAAGATTAGTCAAACAGACAATGACGGAGATATCCTCCTGCCACACCATCTTCCAAAAGTCACCGATTGTTTTTGGTTTGGGACCTAGAATTTTTTTTAATCAAGTATAAAGAAGGGCATTTGCTGAAAAAATACTGTACCCTGGAACTCAATAATAACGTTTTTTTTTCTTCTTGAATTTTTAATCTATTAATGTGTCTTAAATACTGCTTTACTCACGTACCTTGCGTTGCGATGTATGTTCGTTGTCCATGTATATTCTGTAATCATAAGTTTTCAAATAAACCAAAGATGGACAAAAAATCGTAATTACTTTTCATTACATAATTAGTGAAATATAAGTTTATACATATATATTAAAGAAGAATCCCACAGTGGGATGTGGAGACCGGTCCTTCGGATGAGACCGTTTAAACCGAGGTCCCATGTTGCAGTAGGTGCTGGCACGAAAAAGATCCCTCACTGCTCAATTGCCGTAAGTGCCGAGTATAGGACAAAATTTGCAGCTCTCCACCAGCAAGTGGTGGCGTCTCCATATGAGTGAAAAATTCTCGAGAGGGACGTTAAACAATATACAAACAAACAAAAAAAAATATATTAAAGAAAAAATATTTTTTAAAAAAAAGTACAGGTGACTCTCGATCTCTCGAAGTTCAAGGGACCGCAAGAAAAGTTCGAGAGATCGAGGGGTTCGAGAGATAGAACGTGAATAAAATCCTGAATTTTCAGTTCCGATCATCATTGTTCTACTATTATAAATACCAGAAGTATAGGTTGCTAATTTCATTGCACGTTTTCATTCGTATTTTACAGGTAATTCACTTGATTTCAACAACAATGATTGTATTCTGAATAAATAAAACGATCTCTTTAAGTTTCAATATTTATTTGTTCTCATTTCATGATTACATAAAAGCTGAATAGCAATCGTCGGTGTTGCTATCCCCCGGGCTTGATCGGGTCCTTCACCAGATTTCTTGAATTAAATCGGTATTTAGTTCTTGAGATAGGATTTCTTGTGCAATATTTGTAATGCTGGAATTATGTAGACTCTAATAAAACTTCATAATCTATGGAAAATTATTGACACGTCTCTTAAATTATTTTCTAAAAATTATCGTCTCGCTGTCAAGTCAAAATAAGTTGTGAAGCAATTTGTTTATAATTTACCAATTATAACAAATAAATTATATCAACACTCGGATGCTCACAGGTATAGTGTCATCTATGTAAACACCCAATTAACACCTCCATGCCAGCCCCAGGCGTTCACTGTTATCCAGGTAAGTCCAAGCTGCATTGATTTTACGCTTGATTGGCATGTACACACGTGCAATAAAAACTTCGAGAGATAGAGAGTAAAAAACAATGAAATATGTGTAACGGGACCCAGGTCTTGTTCGAGAGATAGAGAACTTCGAGAGATCGGAAGTTCGAGAGATCAGAAGTAAATTTGCTTAGTTATATAGAGGGAAAAAACGGAACCGGAGGTTCACTTCGAGAGATCGAGAACTTCGAGAAATCGGAGTTCGAGCCATCGAGAGTCACCTGTATTATCTTGATGAATTCTAAATATTTTCGGATAAACCCTAGCATATATACACTCACCTCAATATAATTTGCATTGATATAATCTCCTTCGTTTATTTTTTTCAAAACAACTCGGGAATGGTCGTCTAGAAAAGTTGAAATCTATGCAATTAGAATATTAGTTCTATTAGATTCCCATTTAATTTCAAAAGCCTTGAATACTTACAAGGGAATGTAGTCGTGTATCTATTTTTCGGTTTATTTTCTGGCTTTTTTGCCTCTTCGCAAGCAGAAAGTTCACCTTTTGGTATTTCCTTTCGAAAAAAAAATGAGTTTCCCTTTACTGTAACATTTTAACTGATTAAAACATAATCAATGGTTGTTATGTTGTTGCAAAAGATTTTCTTTTATCACTCTTATTAACATTGCCGTGTTCTTCGTAAAAAGAACCTTTAAAATATATAATAATCAAACATTGGAACAAACTAAAATGTTTTTAAAAAAATCAACTTAACATGCACGTCCTCAGAGATAAATAACGGTTTACTGTAGTTACGAAACTTCAATTTAATAGCAATATTAATATTATTTGCCAGGCCAATAGCAACGGTTTTAAAACCAGGGGACAGTTGCAATTAATACAACAGACGGTTTACCCTTCTATACGCAGAATGCATTTTATTTCATTGAAAAAAGTAATCCTTCGATAAATCGTCATTTTTACTTTACCTAGACAAAGTAAATATACAGCTATTTTATCCACTGTATTCTTGACAAATGAAATTTTCGTATTGTATGTGCGAAAATCAATGACGTTGTCAGTTTAATTTACCCCAGATGTACAACTGGAAGCTAGATAAATACGTTCACAAAACTCAACTAACATACATGTACAACTTAATACTTCATATATAATGTAATCGAATGTTTATGTGTTTTATAGGCTTTATAATAAAATTGCTTATTGTTTCTGTAATACTACAGCTTTGTTAAATAGCAAAATAGAACAATCTTTTTGAAAGTGTTTTTGCCTTAAATTTATCTCAGTCAATGATTGTACAATAAAATAATGTTCCTATTCTGAAATAATACAACTGGGTCAGAATAATACAAGTTTGCAAAAAGGCCAGTAAATACGTTTAATTGAATAAAAAGATGTTTAAGTTATATAATTATACTGCTGTAAATCTTCACTGTCATACATGATACTCATGTTTAAATCCAGCATTCTCCATGGCAGACATCTTGACTATGATGTTTTTTAAATTCCTCACTGGGATAGTTTTGTATGTGGGACGACCCTTTTTAGCACTTTCGTGCACATTGCCTGTCCGTATTTTGACACTGTGTACACCATCTTCCTTTAAGTTGCATACTAAAGTTTAAACAAAAGGTTTTATATAATAATTATTTATAATATATTTCTTTATTCTTGAATTCATTGAGGAAAAGGTATTTGTGTTTTTAATTTCTTTTAGAAAATTCCATTATTTCTTTCTGAGAACGAAAAGCTTTCAATGGAGCAAGATTCTACAATGGTAATATAATTTAACTAAATTGATTTTAAAAAAATGTATTTTTTACCTTTATTTTATGGAATTAATTTTCATATACGAAGTTTATAAGACACTCAATCCTTGCAATAAAGTTTGATGTAAAGGAATGGGCTTTTTTTATTCCGAACGATAATATTTCATGTCACCAGCTTTCATACTCTAATGCTATGGACTCATTCTGATGTATTAAACTGGCTTCTAAAATCAGCCAAAATTTGACAAACAACCTTGTTCGGGTATCAGAGGATCATTTTTTCATCTGCGCAGAAAAACCACTTAAATGGAATATAAACAAAATATATTCTTGATCAGTAAAAAAAATTCCAGTTTATTACCTGCGAAGTACAATAATTTTTTATCGATACAGAATAGCAGAATATATGTAGGCAGTTGGGATTTTTTTTCTGACCGGCGAGGTCATATATCCTAGCAATGAACCATTAACCTAACCTAATATTCCACAATAAATACTGATTAAGTTCAAGGATATTCGTCAGAATAAAATATATCTTGTTCAGTCAATATTCAAATAAATACATAATTAATATTAATCAAATAAAACACTTTGTCACAAATTAAGAGAAATGATGGATGTTAAAGATAGGTACTATAAAGATAAATAGATTGTTCTATATATTTACAAATTTGTGACGAGTTTCCTCTCGTAACGTGTAATTCCATAGCAGAAAACGTCTTCTTCCCTGATATTTCCAAATACTTCGCCAGTACTTTCCTCTTGAACCTTTATAAACATAAATGATGAAAATATAAGCACCCCTACTAGGAAGCGAGGTACTCAAGTGTCTGGTGTAAATAAAAAAAGGAACCTTGTTGTAAGAACTATGAGCAACAAGCATTTTTAATTACTATGAGATTTATAGAGTGACATTTTAAATTTATGAAACGAATTGAAGAAATCTCATATATAGCCTTCAATGAAAAAAAAAAAAAAAACATGGATGATTACCTTATGAAAAGGACAGTTACAACAACAATGACTATAACTGCCAATGCTCCTAGAATGCCACCCACATTTAAAGTATTTTCAGATGTTGATTCAGCAACTGATATTTGAGAGTCCTTTGGTCCTTGAAAATGGTATTTTTTTTAAATTACTTTGATAAAAGCAGAATAAAAGCAGTGAATGTATAGTGAAACATTCTAATTCGACATGCACTATGGCACAAATTTTAGATGAGGTGTGGAAATGCATAGTGTAGAGAAATATGGAAAATAGTAGTTTCATTTGTTCGTTTGTTTGCTTGACATCCTTTTCTTGAAATTTTCACTCACATAGAGACGTCTACAATTGCCGGTAGAGGGCTGCAAATTTTGACCTATACTCGGCACACAGGGCCATTGAGTAGTAATGGATCTTTTTCGTGCCAGTAACAGTCATAATGGAAAACGGTTATTTAGTTATGAACAAAGAGTCATTAAATATACCTTAAGAACACATCAAGAGAATAAAACATCTTACCTTGACTACAGGACCCGTCGATGTGATTACAGGTATAGTTGCAATTTAAAGGGCAAACACTAGAGCAGTTTGTCCCAAAATATCCTTCTTTGCATGCTGAAAAGACGATAGATGATATAGATATTAAAAAAAACTGCTATTGTCTTGATAATATCTGTATAGTATTTTATCTTTAAGAACTATAAAAAAAAAAATATGACTACACTGATATCATAAATTGTAATTTTTGGAGGTCCATTTATTGCAATGATTTTTTAACCGTTCAGTTTCTTACCGTTGTGACACTGTTTTCCAAAGTAACCATCTACACACCCATCTATACAGACTCCATTTGTATTAACGCACTTTTTACTCTTACAGGTTTCATGGCATTCTTCAAGACACTTGTTCCCAAAATATCCATGGCGACATGCTATTTAAAACATAACAATTGATTAAAAAAACAAATGAAAACAGGAACACAAACACACATTATAGGAATGTTTACTTACTTTCATTACAAAAATCTCCTGAATACCCCGGACTACAACCTTGATCACAGTATCCAGTTTCTCTGTTGCAATAAGTGTTATTCAGACAGTGATCACTGCATTTATGAACACAGTCTGGACCATAGGTTCCATCTTTACACCCTGTAAGAATTTTTATTAGAAAACATGATCAGTAAACATTCCGAAAATTTTAGGTTGTACATGTTTTTCCATGCTAGAATAATTGATCTGAAGACATATAATTGCCTAAAACATCAATTCATTTAAAAAATGGATACCTTTAAACATTTTTTTTTTTGGCAAATAAATACTCGAGAGGCGCTAACAACTGGCAAAGCATCTGTATCTAAAGGTATATATAATGAATAATTTTGAAATAGGAGAACAGATTATGACCAATAAAGGACATCGCTGCTATTTTCAATTAAAGCAATAAATATTTGTCTAAAATTCAATATTTTTTTTTAATTTCTTCTGATTGCAGTCTTTACATTTTGTGAAGAAAATTGACTGCCTCGGTGCGGAATGTGAATGTTCGGATTGTCGAACCATAATTACGTGTTAAAATTCTGATCTTCTAAAATATATTTCAAAAGAATATAAATTACAATAGTTCCTATGAAACCAAACTGCTTGTTAGCAGTTTTTTTTAAGATTTCAACAAATAAAAAAAAAACAGCGTTTGGATGCTTACCTCAAAGAGAAAAAATTATTTTAAGATATAATATTTTTTTTTCAAAACAGTTGACTTATCTTTTATCGGACGATCACAACGTTGATTCGTGGTTAAATTTTTTCGCTCCAATGTCAATTGTTTAAAGCAAACTTTTTATTTAAAAAAGAAATTAAGGTTTTAAAAATCTATCCTAAATTTAATATTTACGTTCATTACAAAACTTCCCCATCCATCCACTTGTACAACCTCCATCACAATGACCCGTCATGTGGTTACATGTAATGTTCCTTTTGCAATGATCCGAACACTTGTTCTTACACCCAGGTCCATGCAATCCCCATGAACACTCTATTAATAAGGAAGAAATCAGCAACCTGAATGACACAATCATCAGTAAAAACAAAACACGAGCATATTTCAATAAAATTATAATAGAAATCGTACCTTTTGTACACATGTCACCTGTCCATCCAGGAATACATCCCAAACAACTTCCATTTACAATGTTACATTTCTTTTCCTGACAATTTTCTGAACAGTTTTTATTACACTGGTTTCCATACACGTCTGAACTGGCACATCCTGGATGAAAAAAGAAGTAATATTTTTAAAAAAACAAAAACAAAAAACCACTTCTATTGCTGTAAAAGTGTGATTTTTATTTCAAAATTAATACCAAGTAAAGTAATAACTAATTATATAAGTTTTTTTGCTTTCTGAATTCAACAATTTGTAAGATTGTCGATTAGCATTTCATTATTGAAACAGAATAAAATGTCATTTAACCTATCTATAAAGTGCTAATACAAGTCTTAGAACACATATATGTACAGTACATATAATAGAATCCAGAAGTAATCTCATATCACAATGCAAAAAAAAAAAAAAAAAAAAAAAAAAAAAAAAAAAAAAAAAAGGAAGAAAAACAACAAGGATTAATACTTCTGCAGACGGCTACACATTGAGTATCTAATTGAAAATTTTCCTGATAATTAATGACAGCTAGGTTAGAACAAGAAAAGATATGCAGTGACATCAATAAATACTCTTCTGATGCTTTACACATAAACAATGGACTACAAACTGTATCGCTACTAAACAAAAACCTGAACGAAATAGGTGATGAAATTTACAATTTTTTCCTTCAGAATTTTGTCCATTCACGACTGAAATTTTGTTCTTTTTTTTTTTAGTATTAAGTTGCTTTCCCTTTAAACGACTAATGGCCTTAATGTCCTTAGGTGTGCCATGGACGAAGTTTTTATATAATATTTTTGTAGTTGAGTACGGTGGATGTATCAGAATCTTTCGATATCAGACTTATGTACCTGTTAGCATCTTTAATGAGAATTATTTATGTAGTTCAAAGTAAATTATTAATTTAAAAAAAAAATCGAAACTTAATAAGAATTGCAAAATTTATCATACCTATTGTTTGTGCCTATATTACGTAGCAATATTTTTATTTTCAAAAAATGGTTTAAATTGGTTCACAAATCCTTGTAAATTTTAAGTTTTTTAGCTGTATAAATAAAGCATGATAAATTTAACATAAAATAGTTAATTTTGGTTTACTTTTCCAAATGAAACAATTCTATTCAGTATTGATAAAAGCTCAAAACCTTGAATTTTCACATCACATAACTGCGTGTAGATTTGATTCTGGTATCCTTCAGGATAAGTAACTCCGTCCAGTCTTTCATTGTAATAGATGACGTAACGACCATATCCAATACACGTTGTATTGAACTCCAGGGGAGGTAATGGAAGCGTGTTGTTGTAGCAAAGTCGACTGTTCTCTTTGTGAGGAGTATTAGACAAGAAGAGAGAAAATCCAGCAAAACGACCTCTCTGTCGCATCTCTGAAGCAATGGTTTAAAATCAGCGTTTATTTCTTTTTTTTTTTTAAATCACTCATTCTAATTTAAAAAATAATGAAATAGAATGATTAATTTACAAATGTTTGGAAAAAATTTTTAATCATTAATAAATTTTAAATAAATTTAAAACGTAATGGAAATTATTAGAGATATAAATATGCACTTTCTTATACATGCAAAAAAAGTACATTCATTATTTCATTTTTTTTTTTGTCACTTTTTATATAATGCGTGATCATCTTAGAGCCTTACTGATACTTTTCCCTGTACTAAGTAATGCAAGTTTGTGCCATTTAAAACCTTGAACAATAATATCATCATTACTCTTGACAACAAAAAAGTACCATATAGCTAAATGAATATACATATATGCACATATCATACAGAAAATCTAGACCAATCTATATTATATGAACTTATTGCCTATCCGAGTATACTACAACTACGCCTTTTCAATAATTAAAAATAAAGAGGGGACATTTAGTTTAATGATTACTTTGTACCGCAAAGTAATTTTAAATTAATCCATTTAATTTTGCCATTTGCAACCTTTTTATTGTAAGATTATATTGCGTTGTAATGTAGTATTGTCTGAATAGAGAAATAGCAACATCTTAGGAACTGACCCTTACTTTCAATATCTCGGCAGAATTCCTGTATCGGGTATAGTTACGGAATATTTATTAAAAGTTTAGTTCAGAACAAGTTTATGTAAATTCTAGATGAAATAGGTTTTTTAACCTCTCCGTAAATTCTTCTTAACTGTACTTAATTATTCAATTGCTGAGTCTTAATATACATGTAATTAGCCGACGAGCAGATGTAAATAAAACCATATTGCCTAAAACAGACCATATTTGAAACAAGTTTATCAAGTCAGTGATTTTAAATACAGTTCATTTGGACAAAAATTAACTCTTATCATAAAAAAAAAAAATCTAGATTTATATCCTGTTCCAACTGTGCAATTGCGAAAGGATACCAAGGCATGGCGTTAAGCTTCTTAAAATTTGTGTGTCGAAGAAAGAGATAACAAGAGAAGTACAGTCTTCCTTGAATAATAAACAATAACCGATGTAATTCAAAAAGGGTCAGTAGGGGGCGTACATGTACCTAAATCAATTTAAACATACAAAAAATGGCGACTCTACTTTGGGAAACATTTTTTCTATAGACTTGCAATATAGGCTAAGGGGAGGGATGGTTAGGCTCAATTCATCAAATAAATTGAAAATTCATACAAGTAAATAGAAGATATATAAATGCTTCGTATGACATTTGGCTTTACAAATCAGAAGTGTATCCAGAAACTTACGTTCGAGGGCACACTTCAAGATCCGAAACATGGAATTTTTCCCCTTTCTTTTTTATACTTTTTTCCATTTTTTTTTTTTTTTATTTGACAAGCAAAAAAAAAATCTTTCACGGGAGAAGATCACTGCCCAATAAAAGGCTGTTTTACTTCATATACTGTAACCGTGGAAATATTGAGGACATTGTAATTTTGATTATGTTGATGAGATTGCTATTTTTGTCAAATATTTTACATGTCAATCTTCGTATCATACATATAGCAAATGCAAATGACATTCAGATTGAACATTTCCCAAATTTGCATTTTTTAAAATTTAATATATACTTAAGATCATACATTTATATCAAATAGGTATTTTGCTATTTGTTCACCCAACCTTCATATGCATTTTGCTTTGTGTATGAAGAGTGATATATTAAAAAGAAATAACTCTTTAAAAACGGAAAATTCGCCAAAGTTAACATTCGTCAAACTTCTTTCAGTTTAAATTTCAATTTTAGGTTTCAATTTTTTCTTGACACTGAATAGAATTCTTCATTGAAATTGAAATTCACTTATTTTTGCTTTTAAAGACACGATAGATTTCCTGTACACTTTTTGTGCTTAGCATCCTTCAGTAAAAAAAAAAGGGGGGGGGGATATGATAAAATAAATGCGTTCATTTAATTATCTAAACTTAAAACTATATATATCAGTTGGTGTCAAACAAGAACATATTTACCTTGTTATTTATATTAATTTTCAATTTTTCTTCGAGTATTTATTTTTTGTTTTGTTTCTTGAAACACATAGATTATTTTGTTGATTTGTAAGTACATGCAGTAACTTATTAAATCCTATAATTAAAATAAAAATATTTTTCCAAATATATACATGTAATACCATGGTACAGTGTATTTAAGTCTCATACTATGTAAATCTCATACTATTCATAGCAAGTTCAGAAGGTAAGGATAAAGTGGATGTAATAGTCAAACAATATATATGAAATTGATCTTTAAATTTTCTCACTCACTCTGTATTGTTCATGAAACATTTGCTTAACAACGTTTAAAAGAAAGCGGCCTTACTCATATCCGAGAAAATAAATATGGGTATATATGGTTTTAATAGGTACAGGTATTTGTTTGATACATAAAGTAATGAAATTTCTAGATTTTAATGTATATTTCAGAATAAAATTTATCTCCAAAAAAACTTTCCAAACACAACATGAATATTGCCTTATCAAGAACATTACAATATGCCTTTAATAATATGTTTAGTAGTCGTTACAATGAATTAATGAAACAAACCATAAGCAAAAAATATGCAGGCGGAAATAAATGGAATGGAAACTATTAAAACTTTGTGCATGCCTTATATTTAAGTTTAACCATACCGTGTCCTGTAAAATTTTGAAACAGTATGTTGATACTGTAAATGCTGCGATATCCTCCAAGATTCACTCTCAACCATGTTGTTTTGTGTGGAGAGTTTCCACCTATGGTGTAGGTACCCGTGCACGTTTCTTTGTCTTCGTCAATTGCTGTATTTGCTCCGCATGCATACGTACAAGGATATACATTGGAAATTTCAGCGGTTTGATGTTTTGATAAATTTTCTTTAAAAAAAAATAAGAGATATATCAACAGGATAAACAAAAGACATGATTATCCGATAACAAGATATTTAAAATTTCCACTATATTTATACATGTATTATATTGTAAAATTATATTTACTGTTGGGATTAAACTGAATTAACCTGGATATAGAGCATAAAGACACATAGTCCTTTTCCATTTTTTTTTTTTATTTTACGTCATACTTTGACTAAATTCAGTACAGTAAAGCACGCTTATAGCGAACACGCTTATAACGAAGCAAAATCGTCCGTCTGTAGCACATCTAATGGTTCAAGGTTATTAACCCCTGGAGGTCATCCCCACTCTCTTAATGAACTGGAAATGTTCACAATATGACTACATCAAATTAAATAAAAGTGCATCAATGGTAAGATAACTTGACATTTCATTCATGAATTTGGGTCAAACCATGTACCCTCCTAGAATTTGGAATGAAAAACATTCAAAGAGATGGACTATTTTAAAAACTATTTGTGTATATCAGGGTTCATCTTCGCCAGCCAAAGGTGACGATCCGCTCCTCTCCTCGTTTCATGTGAAAAGAGGAGAGGAGCGGATCGTCACCCTTGGCTAGCGAAGGTGAATCTATATTTACATTTTTTTTTATGTCAAAACAAAGTATTAGTTACATGAACAAACACGGCGTCTGGGAAGGGGAAGAGGCGAGGGGAAGGAGTTATCTCTTTACGTCTTAATTGTTGAAAACTCCTAATATGAATGTTAACCTCAAATCCGACTTGTACGTCTTCATTATTTTTAAGTGGTGACAGGTGTCTCCATGAGTGAAAAATTCCCGAGAGGGACATTTAACAACAAACAAACAAATGACTTAAAAACACAATATACATGTACATGTTTATTAGTCAACGGATATACTTCTGGTCATATCTCTAGTTCTCCCTTGAATCAGAAATGAATGATATAAATATTTTAAGAATGATTAAGAATTGAAAAGGTTGTGCATCTTAAAATTGACTAAGCTCTGTGGTTGAATTAGCTATTAATACGAATTTAGCTTATTTTGCTACTCAAAGCACCTTGATTAACTATTTTTAATCATACTGTTTTCTGAAATGTGCAGTTTTATCAACATGGATACAAGTAATACATTTTCAGCTTCTGAAAACAATGCAAATACTCTAACTCTTTCCAAGTACTTGTGATCATAAGTTTTTAGCTCACTTGAGTTTTTCTGGTTTTGTGATCACATTTTGTCTGTCATCCATCTGTTCGTCTGTAAACTTTTCACATTTTTGTCTTCTTCACTAGAATCACTGGGCCAATTTCAACCAACCTTGCCACAAAGCATCTTCGGGTAAAGGGGATTCAAGTTTGTTCAAATGAAGGGTCACACCCTCTTTCAAGGGGGGATAATCAAGAATTAGTGAACATTTGGTGGTATCATATAAAAAAGTCTTATCAAGAACCACTTACTGGGCCCAGAAAGTTGAAACTTTCTTTACATAAACTTAGTGTAGATTCAAATTTGTCAAATTATGACCCACTGGGGTAGGGTGGGGCCACATATGGGGACCCAAAGATTAATATGAATGCAGGGGATTTTTTCCATCATAAATCTTCTTCTCAAGAACAGCAAGGGCATTATTCTCATCCGTTTTCGCGAAAGGGACCTAGGGGACATTAAATCTCAGTAGTCTGTCAGTCTGTCCGTTTGACAGTCTGTCACAATAAATTTAACCTTGGTCATAACTTTTGAAAAATAAGAGATAGGGCTTTCATATTTCACATGTACATTACCTACAAGAACTTTCTAATGATACTATGATTTTTGAACCCATTACCTTGACCTTGAAGTTTGACCTACTTTTCAAAAAAATTAACATTATTTTAAATTGATCATTTTGAAAGAGAAAAGGTAGGGCATTCATATTATACATGTATATTACCTGTGACAAGACCTTTCTAAGTATATCATGACTTTTAACTCTGTGACATTGACCTTTGAAGTTTTACCTACTGTTCAAAAATGTTATATTTCGTTATAACTTTTGATTGAGAAGAGATAGGACTTTCATATTTTACATGTAAATTAACTGTAACAATATGTTTCCGAGCATGCTATGATTTTTTACCCCTTGACCTTGATGTTTTACCTAATTTTCAAAAATTTTAACTTTGGTGATTACTTTTGAATGACATATGATGGGGCGTGCATATTTGAAACAATATGTCAGAAATAATGACATCCCATCCACTAGGACACAGAAAGCAGGGGACCGCACTTCTTTGAATTTGCTTGTTAATCATTTTGATATGGAAGCATCCTCATATAGTGTAGATTCAAGTTTTTATGCCCTGCCATGAATAGGGCCGAGGCATATAGTGTTTTTCAAGTCCGACTTCAATCAAGCTTCATATGCTGATACATACTTACGTAAGCTTTTCAACTGCATCAACCTTTTTGACCTTGACCTTTCCTTTGACCTTGACCTCACTTTTCTTAAATTACTGTCTGGATCAGTTTTGAATAAACAATTCAAGATATACTTATCAAACTTCATATGCTGATACATACTGCTGAGAGTTATCAATTGCATCAACTTTTTTGACCTTGACCTCACTTTTTTAAATTAGTGTTTATCTACATTTTAATACGTTTAAATAAACCATTATGATATTTTTATCAAACTTCATATGCTAATAGTAAATACATACTGATGTAAGCTTTTCAACTGCATCAACATTTTGACCTCAACCTTTCCTTTGACCTTGACCTCTCTTTTCTTAAGTAAGTGTTAAGCTCAGTATTAAATAAATCATTCAAAATATATTTCTCAAATCTAATATGCTGATATGTATTAATGAGAGCTATTCAACAGCATCAAAAACTTTTCACCTTGCACTTTCCTGTGACCTTGACCTCCCTTCTCTTTAATTTTTATTTTGCTTAGTTTTAAAGAAACAATCTAAGATATTTTTATGTAAGCATGCACTTATATACATAATTTGGTGAGAATTTATCATCTATATCCATTTTTTTTTTTTTAGATTTTAGTTTCAATTTTAAAGAAACTGTTCAAGATATTCTCAAACTTCATACACTCATACAAATTTTCATGTTGCATTAGTAATATACATCGGCGGGGCATTTATGTCCTATGGACATATTTCTAGTTTTCAAATCATGACCTCCAAGGATAGGGTCAGGCCACGATACGGGATCAAAGTTTTATATAGGAATAAAAGGGAAAAAAAATCTTCAAAATTCTTCTTTTCAAGAACAACAAAAGCATGATTAATATGGAAACATTCCCAAGAAGTGTAGATTCAAGTTTGTACAAATCATGACCCCATGGATTAGGGAGGGGCCATTTTTTTCCTGCCCCTATTTGCCATCCACATGGAAATGCAAATTTTAAAACCATTTTACACATCCACAGGACAAAACCAATCATCTTCCAAATGAACATGTTTAAACATGTTAAATTTTTTTTTTTTTAAAAATTGAACCCCCATTTGACCCCAGGGTGAAAATAAAAATTCCGAAACCTTAATGCACATCTACAGGACACCACCAACCATCTCCGAAATGATTAGGCTCCTGTGTAAAATGTAAGATGAGTTCTAGGAACCAGAGGCTTTTTGCATAAAAACGTCATTTTTCGACCCCCATTTGACCTCCATGGTGAAAATAAAAATTCCGAAACCTTTCTGCACATCTACATGACACCACCAACCATCTCCCAAAAGATGAGTAGGTTACTGTGTAAAATGTAAGAGGAGTTCAGGGAACCAGGGGCTTTTTGTATAAAAAGCGTCATTTTCCGATCCCCATTTGACCCCCAGGTTGAAAATGAAAATTCCGAAACATTACTGCACATCTACAGGACACTACCAACCATTTCCCAAAAGATGATTAGGTTACTGTGTAAAATGTTAGAGGAGTTCAGGAAACCAGGGGCTTTTTGCATTAAAAAAAACGTCATTTTTCGACCCCCATTTGACCCCCAGGGTTTAAATGAAAATTTCGAAACCTTACTGCACATATACATGACACCACCAACCATCTCCCAAAAGATGATTAGGCTTCTGTGTAAAATGTTAGAGGAGTTCAGGGAACCAAGGGCTTTTTGCATAAAAAAAAAGTCATTTTTCGACCCAAATTTGACCCCCAGGATGAAAATGTAAATTCCGAAACCTTACTGCACATCTACATGACACCACCAACCATCTCCCAAAAGATGATTAGGCTTCTGTGTAAAATGTTAGAGGAGTTCAGGGAACCAAGGGCTTTTTGCATTAAAAAAAAACGTCATTTTTCGACCCCAATTTGACCCCCAGGGTGAAAATGTAAATTCCGAAACCTTACTGCACATCTACATAACACCAACAACCATCTCCCAGAAGATGATTAGGCTACTGTGTAAAATGTAAGAGGAGTTTGAGAAAGTAAGGTGTGACAGACGGACGGACGGACAGACGGACGGAAAGACATGAGTAACAACAATATACCCGAACTTTCTTTAGAAAGTGCGGGTATAATAAATCCAAGTAATTTGAATCAAAACATTTAAATATTTCATAATATAATTCATAAGTTTCTGAAAATATAAAATTGCAAAACTGAGGTCACGGAACCAGTCAAAATTTAGTAATGTAATTGCGATACACTATAAAATGTCTTCATTAATATTTCTTTAAAATGGCGTTAAAACAAAATAACGAATAATAAATTGTGATTTACAAGGGTGATCAAATATATCGCGAACTATCTCTATAACTAAAAGAAAGAGAAGACGTCGACAAATTATTTTAATACCCTAATAACTGTTAGCAAACAAAGAATAAAGTACTATAAAAACTTTTTAGATAAATGTGTAAGGCGCCGCAGACTGTGTGTGAAATGTAGAGGTAGTGTATTTTTGTTAAACTGGCATGACACTATGTTTTTGACGTTACGTCAATATGCGTGGTCCGTGGTTAAAAAACATTGTTGCTTTTAAAATAATGTTTCATTAGTTCCATTGGATAAAATGAAATGAAACTGCTCACATCAACAAAATAAATGTTTTTACATATGATTAGTGCGCCGATCTTTTATTTTTAAAAATAATATGACTGAAAGTGACACTTTCAACGTATTTTTGGAATGGCCCTCGTAATAAACCTTTTAATCGTTCTGTTTTCTTTTACACG